GACACACACAGACCCAGCCCCCCACCCACTACATGCGCCCTCCCAGGGATGCCACAGCGTCCCTGGCGCCCTTCTCCAGTGACCAGCAGTCTTCTGAAGCAGTCCACTCGCTGGGCCAACCCTACAGAACGCATAGTCCCAACCTGACACCCGGCACAGGGGCTCGTCTGCAGCCCTTTCCAAGGGGCCAGAGGAGCTGAGACAGTGAAAACTGCTTGGTGCAAAATTGTCAGCAACAATTATTTTTAAAGGACCTTTTTATCCACAGCTAGGGTTTAATTTGGATCTTTACGGGTCAGTACCAGTCCTCCAAAAACTCTACGAGCAGTTGGTTGTAAAATGAGCCCATCACCAGTGTGCTGGTGTGCTGCAGCGCCAGGGGAGCAGTGGAGACCAGCCCAGCACAGGCACCAAGCAGCCCCTTCCTAAACCTTCGACCCAGGACAGTTTGGTTCTCAAATGGGAAGGAGCCGTGTATCCAGTGAGGTACTGATCATCGAGTGAACTGATCCCAAGAGACACTGAAATACTGTCTTCATTTTGCAGGATGCTCCTCACCTGCAGACGGAGGAGACAGTGAGGGGAGGGGTTACACACACAGGGAGCCGCCAGGGGCCGTGCCCAGGCCTTACTCGCTCTCGCACCCAGGAACCCAACCTTTGCACCATTGGACACAGCAAGGCCCCTGGAAAGATGCTTCTAAGTCCCAGCGTTGGGCCAGAGCAACCAGAACTGGTAGGAATTATTGAGACCACTCTCTTCGGGGCCCAGCTTCCCGCGCAGGACACAGCTCTTCGCCATCCCACCCCTCAGGGTAAGGCTGCCGGTGCTTCTGCATTTTGGATCTTATTAGCATTTTTAACCACGTCTTTCTCTCATTGTTCCTCACACACGTGAGACCCGTGAGGTTTGTGAGCCCCCACCTCCACTAGGAGCACTTTTCCCAGAGCTGGTGTCCTGAGAGGAAGCGTCTCACCAGGCCGCCCGGAGGTGGCAGGCTCCTGGGGAACCACCCGCAGCATTTCTCTCATCCTGTCCCAGGTCCTGACCTCGTGACCCAACAAGGACCCAGCACGCAGGCGGCTGTCCTGATCCTCAGCATGTCTCCTGGACAGCTCCAAGCCCGGCAGGCTGCCCTTGGCCCACCTCCAGAGCGGCCGGGGATGGGCCAGGTGGTATGTGGCCCATCTGCCAGCTGACCCTTCCTCAAGCACAACAGCATGAGCCTTGGGGACAGTCCGAGGGAGACGGGGCCAGGACAACCATGGGGCCCTGCTGAGGCCTCTTCCATTCCATGAGAAGGGCTGTGCCGGCTCAGTCTCGCACGGCACTTCCCCAGAGAAGCGACACCGAAACAAGCAGCCCCAAGTGGCAAAGTGCTGTGATGCCCGTGAGGGACCAGCCCTGCTTCTCCAAGACCGTCTCAGGAGCAGGCCACACCCTATAAGAAGCCCGAGGTCCTGGTGACACCCTGACCTTGACCCGCCCTGGGAAGGCAGCACCTCTCCTGGGACAGAACTGCACCAGCCCAGTAACCTGGATGCGACCATCCAGCCCCAACACTAGGCTCCCTATTAGCCCCCTGGCACTGGTGGGTCCCTTCACATTATCTACACTTTATACAAGACACGCTCCTCGAGGTCGGGCTGTCTGCACAGCCGACTCCCCGGGGCTCTTGGGAAAACAGGCACTGGGTCAGTGGGCACACGGCTGCACCCAGGACTGTTACAACACGGGGCTTCCAGTTGCAAAGCTACAAAATCAAGTCTTCAGAGCAAGTCTTTGCTTTCAAAAGTTTTAATTACAAATGTGATTCTGAAGCCTGGACACACGTGACGCCCTCTCAGAGGGAACCCACCACTCCATACAACTGCGTGTGCATGTGTGCGTGTGTACATGTGCACACATGTGGGTATGCATGTGAGAGCACAAATGTACGCATATGCATGTGTGCACACATGTGAGTTTGTGTGCGCCCGCATGCAGCAGATTGTCTTCCATTCAGAGAGTGGTACCATGATCTACGTGTTGATATTTCTACAGAAAGAAAACAGTCACCTGATCAGGACGTGTGCAGAGATGGATGCACACCTGTGTTCTATACAATAACCCTAATTCCCCTGTAAGTAGCCTCTGCTCTGACCCCCCAGTGCACACCAGGTGTGGCCTCCTGTATCCTGTGTTTCAAACACGCATGCTGGGAAAACAAGGACACAGTACTGTGGTTACAGACCAAACGTTCTAACGAATGACTTGTTTTGTGACATGGGTTTGGCCTGCAGTGACAGTGCAGCCCTGGTGAAAAGAGCAGACAGGGCCAGAGGCAGGGCTCCCTTCAAGGCTGGGAGCCGTCTGGGGACTTGGTCAACAACTTGCCATGTTTCTGGAACCCTGTCATGGCAATGCTTCCTTTTGCGTATACAGCTGGAGATTAATGCATGTCTTGCTCTTCAGCAAATCCTAGTCAAGCAGCTTTAACTTAAATATATAAAAGTTATCTTTACATCATTGAAAGTTGGCAAGAAAACACAGAACCCGACAGCGACCCATGTCATTTAATCCGACACTCTGAAACATTCACTTTGTTCCCGGCGCAGACAGCGCTCCTGGCTGCAGAGAGCTCACTGCAGGGTTAGTTTCAAGATCTGTCTTTTCTGTTATTGGTTCCAATTTAAACTACTTTTGGACACTCGTCACGCTGCATTCTAAGGAGGAACATGGCCCCTCCTTGCTGTTCCTTCCGCTAGTTTCAAACTGGTCATCAGGCTGCTGTCGGTTGAGATGCAACAGCTGACTTATCACATAAAGGAGTTGAAGAATGTTCCTTCTCAAATCTTAATGAAAACACGATGATCCCGAGGGAAGCTTTATGAAGAGACGGCAACAGTAATGAATGGTTGGCAATCAATAGTTAATTAGGATTGAGGCCTCAGCCGGGATGGCGCTTTCTCCGTGAACATGGTCCTTAGAAAGGCTGGTGCTGCCGTACCCGGAGCTCAGAGGAGCCACGTGGCGGGGTCCAGCCTGGCAGGGGTCTGGGTCCCAGGGCACATCAGTAGATGTCCGGGCAGCCTGAGAAATCCCGCTCGAAGTAGCCCCCTGAGTACAGCCAGTCAGGGGTCCCAGTGTGCGGATTCCTGCCCTGGTGGAACCACCTGCAACACAGAAGAGGGTCAAGGAGCGGCTGGGCAGTCACTGTCGCCGGTCCTCTCAGGAAGGACAGAGAACCCTCTAATTAGCCATCAGCCAGCAACATGCATTTCTAAAGGCAGCCACTTCAACTTGGGCTGTCATCACACTTTCACACATACACTCATGCTACACACATCCCCAATGTCAGCCTCACTTTCTGACAAAAACCTTATGGAGTAAACAGAAAACACTCAGGCTGGGCCGTCACCAGAGAAGGGGCGCTCAACCCCAGGTGACAACAGTCACAGTGCTGTTTCCATCCTTTCGAGCTGGCCAGGTCTGCATGGTCTGGTAACTGGGAGGGGCGCGATCGAGGACAGAGAGGGTCACAGTGGCCTCCAGCTTGTCTATGAGCCAATCCAGTCACTGTCACCAGCTCCCATCAGGCTCCCAGCACCTTGGTCACCCACCCTTGGCCTCTGCGCGGTGGGAGAGGGAGCGGGTGTGGGACTCGCGAGGTAGAAGTAATTGTCTTCTCAGGATAAAATGTTATTTTCACAATTAAAAAAAATACAACAAAGGAACATTGGCTTTTTTCAAACTATCGTTTTCTGGGACAGCAAATTCCACGTATCAAACTACTAAGAGCATAATAATAAATTATATTGAAAGCCCAACCTTCGAAAGTTAGTTTTAAAAACGACAGCTACATAAAAGTCACCAGGTGACTTCACTGGGCCCTGAACACAAAAGACAGGCAAAAATATCCTGGTCAACAACGCTAAACCACCAGTTTTCTAAGACTAAAACTGTAGCTTACATGTACCTTTAAATTTTGTTTAAACATTACAGTACTTAATCAAGTCCTTATTAAGTGGACTGTTGTCACATCTATAATAATAAAAAGGTAATATGCTAATTAGACTGGATGTCCTTCCGGACGAAGCCGGGGCTGCCTGTGGCCGGAGGGAAGCCGGTGCTGGCAGCCAGGGGAAGGAAGGCCTACTCTTGCACAAATTTCATGCATCGGGCCTCTAGTTATGACTATAAAAGAACAATGACAACTGATTTGAGATACTCCTCCCGGACAGCTCCCTCTGGGTCAAGGCCTGTGCAGACACACGCATGTGCATTCCACTCACACGGTGCACACCCATGGTCACATGATGAGTGCTCCCAGGCATGGGAAAGACAGCCGGCCCGCTCTTCATCATGGCCTCTGGGGTGCTGTGTCATATGGATGGGGAACATGTGGGGACAGCAGGCTGCTCCCAGCAGCACCTGGGGCTTCCGGGTGCACAGTGGCTCTTCTCTGAGAACTGTGTTTTCCCTCAGTTAGTGGATTGGCTCTGGCTACATTTTCTTTTCTAATTTACCATACTTGAAAAAGTTCAGGGTCATATACCCATGGGCCAGGATGGAGAGGCTGGTCTCAGGTGATCTGCCTCTCACCAGCAGGTGGCACTACTTTTGGGAGCATCGGCCTACAGCCTGGTGGGTACAGCCTGCACAAGGAGCTGTTGCCACCATCATAGCAGAAGCAGAGACAGCTTCACCGTCCCCAGGTGTGTGAGTCCTCCTCACCGTCCCCAGGTGTGTGTAGTCCTCCTCACCGTCCCCAGGTGTGTGAGTCCTCCTCACCGTCCCCAGGTGTGTGAGTCCTCCTCACCGTCCCCAGGTGTGTGTAGTCCTCCTCACCGTCCCCAGGTGTGTGAGTCCTCCTCACCGTCCCCAGGTGTGTGAGTCCTCCTCACCGTCCCCAGGTGTGTGTAGTCCTCCTCACCGTCCCCAGGTGTGTGAGTCCTCCTCACCGTCCCCAGGTGTGTGAGTCCTCCTCACCGTCCCCAGGTGTGTGTAGTCCTCCTCACCGTCCCCAGGTGTGTGAGTCCTCCTCACCGTCCCCAGGTGTGTGAGTCCTCCTCACCGTCCCCAGGTGTGTGTAGTCCTCCTCACCGTCCCCAGGTGTGTGAGTCCTCCTCACCGTCCCCAGGTGTGTGAGTCCTCCTCACCGTCCCCAGGTGTGTGTAGTCCTCCTCACCGTCCCCAGGTGTGTGAGTCCTCCTCACCGTCCCCAGGTGTGTGAGTCCTCCTCACCGTCCCCAGGTGTGTGTAGTCCTCCTCACCGTCCCCAGGTGTGTGAGTCCTCCTCACCGTCCCCAGGTGTGTGAGTCCTCCTCACCGTCCCCAGGTGTGTGTAGTCCTCCTCACCGTCCCCAGGTGTGTGAGTCCTCCTCACCGTCCCCAGGTGTGTGAGTCCTCCTCACCGTCCCCAGGTGTGTGTAGTCCTCCTCACCGTCCCCAGGTGTGTGAGTCCTCCTCACCGTCCCCAGGTGTGTGAGTCCTCCTCACCGTCCCCAGGTGTGTGTAGTCCTCCTCACCGTCCCCAGGTGTGTGAGTCCTCCTCACCGTCCCCAGGTGTGTGTAGTCCTCCTCACCGTCCCCAGGTGTGTGAGTCCTCCTCACCGTCCCCAGGTGTGTGTAGTCCTCCTCACCGTCCCCAGGTGTGTGAGTCCTCCTCACCGTCCCCAGGTGTGTGTAGTCCTCCTCACCGTCCCCAGGTGTGTGAGTCCTCCTCACCGTCCCCAGGTGTGTGTAGTCCTCCTCACCGTCCCCAGGTGTGTGAGTCCTCCTCACCGTCCCCAGGTGTGTGTAGTCCTCCTCACCGTCCCCAGGTGCATCTTGACATCTCCCACTCGATAAATAATGGTTATAGAATGGAATTGAACTGAATTAAATTGAATAAGCCCTGGTAAAGGTTTCTATCCTAATGGTTTCTTAATAGCATCCATAAGAAAATTGGGCGTGAGGTCCTACTCACCACCCCTCATCCACGCAGGGCCTCACCTTGTCTGCCACTCAGTGTCCTCCTTGGCCCGCTCCCTCCGGGCTTCCCTCTGCTTCTCCTCCAGCCGCTCCTTCTCCTGGCTCGCCAGATCTAGGCCCAAGCACACACGGCTGAGTGAGGAGTCAGGTGGGTGGTGACCCTCCTGGTCTCCCTTGTTCAAAAACCATGGAGAGTTAACTGTCATCAGGAAACCGAACCCAAAGGCCCAGGCCTCGGGCGGCGAGGGACCATGGGGTCCTGGTGCAGTACCAGCCACAGGCAGGCACTAAGCTCCTAGGGCCATGTCACCCACAGGGGCGGTGTCAACAGAGCCCAGCATGGGGCCCCCCGTGGAGCCATTTCCCTCGCAGTTACATTCAACCTTAACCTTCAGGGACAGCGGCTGTGCTGTTCCCAACGACTGAGGACCCTGACCACAGGCCCCTGCCTACCGCCGGGCCATCCACACTCATCCCTGAGCAATTTGCTGACCCCATGAACTGCAGCAGGCGCACCCTGCATGGGCACTGGAGTCCTGGGCTGACCTGGCCCAGCGTGACGGGTGGTGAGCAGGAGGCAGCCGCTCGTCACACTGACCCCTCCTGCCGCCCTGCACAGCAGTCACCCAGCAAGTGCCGCCAGGTGCCGGACCCAGGGCTGTCTCATCCCACCTGCAGCAGGGCCCCACACGCCGGCCGTGGGGCTTTAATGAACAGCACGCGGGTTCTGAAAGGCAGCCCTACATTCTACCTAAGAATAGAGTATTGGGACTTGACTTCTGTGTGTATTCCTCTTCATCGCATTTTCTAGTAACTTAACCTTACTGTTATTTACAAAAGGATTGGTCTCCCACAGGCTGCAAACTCTGAAACCGTCACCCGGGCAGTCCGCGCGCTCTGTGCTGGGGGACCTAGTGCCTGTTCGCTCGTGAAAGGCCACCGCATTCCTTCTGCTCGTCCCAGGCGGCCACCCAACTGCCCCCATTGCTCAGGCACGCACCCATGTTGCCGTTCTCCATGCTGCGGATGTCGGGACGCAGACGGCAGTCTGTGGGGGCCAGGATCTTCTCCATGCCCGTCTGCAGTTCATTGAGACTAACAGTGAAACTGGTGAAGTTATACATCTGAGGACAGACAGAAATCTGTGACCACCACAGCATTCTCTCCTGGGCCCCACACAGACACACTCCCTGGAGACGCCCCCGTCAAGGTCACTCAGGGGCATGGTTCCTTCCCGGGCCTGAGACGCACCAGCCTCAGGCTTCTCTGGGCCACCCCACTTGATGCCCAACTTGTAGGTCTGACTCCCCAACATCTCTGGGATGAGTGGTTTATTTTTTACATGCTCTATGTTATTGGACATGGTAATACAATAAAAAATTATAATACATTGTATATTTATTCTATATATAAATAATTCATAATATGAAAAATAAAATTTATTACATATTATATTTATCATGTAATTATTTTTATGTATGTCATTGTATGTAACATTTATATATAATACAAATTGTAAGTTTAATTTTCAAAAATAAATATCAATCCTAGCCGACTTGGCTCAGTGGATAGAGCATCAGCCTGCGGACTGAAGGGTCCCAGGTTCGATTCCGGCCAAGGGCACATGCCTGGGTTACAAGCTCGATCCCCAGTAGGGGGCGTGCAAGAGGCAGCCGATCAATGGTTCTCTATTATCATTGATGTTTCCATCTCTGTCTCCTTCTCCCTTCCTCTCTGAAATCTATATTTTTTAAAAATAAATAAATAAAAATAAATATCAAAATGCACTGAAGCATTTAAATTGACAGGCTGGGAAAACAACCCCTGCAAGCCACTCTGGAAACCCCTTTGGGTAAAATGTGGTTGTATAAACCTTCCAGGGCACACCGTGTGTCCCGAGGCACCTCTACCCAGGAATATCCAGGGCCACTGTGACACTGTGATGTGTGCAGACACACATGTCAGTTCTGTGTCAACATGCCACCACGACTCATGTAGACAGAGCATTGCTGTGTCGCTGGGAGGGTAGGCTGAGGTTGGGCTGGTGGTGGCGCTGTAGGACAGGAAGTCCTCAGGGGCTCACACTGAGAGCTCCATCTGACCAGGGGACGGAGGGTCCTCTGTCTGCTCTGGGACAGAGGACTGAGGTAGCAGGTGTACACATGGGGTTGGAGGGGCAGGTATGGGGGAGCACTGACCTGGGCAGAGTTGGGGGGCCGGGTATTGATTCTCCAGAGGAGCCTGCTGCCTGGAATGACCTGCACAGTGTCCTGGACCTCAGGCACGGCGTCCACCACTTCGGTGTCAGCGTCCTCCATGCTGATGCCCTGAAACACAGAACACGCTGGCCGGCTGCCGGAGGGAGTGGCTCTTGGAGTGCCTCTCAGCCCTTGTTCTGAGCCCAAGCAGAACAAGATGCGCTGCTAAGGAAGGAGGCGCCGCTGCCCCAAAACCTAAAGGCTGGGCTCCTGTGTCTGCCATGCTCACCGCCCCCTGCACAGGCTCCTGTGTCTGCCATGCTCACCGCCCCCTGCACAGGCTCCTGTGTCTGCCATGCTCACCGCCCCCTGCACAGGCTCCTGTGCAGGGGTCCCCCACACAGAGGGCGCCAAGTCAGCGGCAGGCACAGCTGTCCTCCTGGGAGTGCGGGCACCATGCGAGGGTGAGCTCCTGACTCTGACGGCAACTAGCCAGGTGGCACCATCAAAAGTACATTCATCTAAGCCAAGGGACTGGAACAGCTCATTTCTGAGCGGGGCACTTCCCTCCATAAGGGCGTGTCCAGATGGGTGATCACATGATGTCCCAGCACTTCTAGACCAAACCCACTGGAGACCAAGCCCTATATGAGATATGCCACCTGCGGTTACCTGTCAAACCCAAGGGGGCCTGGAGATGGAGCAGTGGTTATTCATGCAGCTGTTGGGGGACAGTGTGCTGGTGTGACAAGCGTCAGTGTGACCACGCAGCTTAAGGGCCTGCCACCTGACTGCAGGCTACACGGTGAGGTCCAGAGCTAAACGGGACAAAACTGTCCCTCCAGGTTACCCAGGACAGCGAAGCTCAGCGCACAGACCAAAGGCATCGGCCATGGTCTAACGCGCCGGTCTGCACAGTCTCTAAGTGGGATTTCATTTCTCTGAGTGACACAAGTCATTGGAAGCCACACTGACAGCACGTGGGAGCTACCACAGGAAGACACGGAGCAGCCAGGAAGGCACAGCACTGCCTGAGGGGGCGTGTCATCTAGAAAACGGATGCCTCTGTAAGTGCACTTCCAGGCCCAGCTCTGAGGCCTTAGGGCAGCGGGATGCAGAGCTCCAGGGAGAAGCCTCCCTGCCTGGCACAGCCCTCACTGTGGGCGTCATCTGGACTCAGACTGAAACGGCAGGAAGGACACTCACTCGCTTGAACAGGTCTAAGCTAACCGGGGCAGGCAGACAGGAGGTTTGTTAAGAGGCATCCAGAACACGGCATTTCCAGAAGGAAATGGAGGTGCCTGGTTCTACCCTGCTTGACTTGGGGGACAGACAGACGCGGCGACACAGGACCCGCGCCCTCCGCGCTGTGAGAGTGCAGATAAACCCTCCCAACCCAGAGGCCCACAGACAGCAGCTTCACTGACAGGCGGATTCGGTGCATCGTCTTCCCACAGGGCCCTTCTGGGGGTCATGGCTGGTTCCCGGGGCCTCTGCCCAGCAGTGCCAGGAGCGGGGCAGGAGCCGGGCAGGAGCGGGGCAGGTGCCAGGCGGTGCCTTACCGACTGTGCCTTCCTCAGGGGCTCGCCCCTCCGCTCCTGCTTCCTGAAGGACTCGTACGCCGCAGGGTCGATGCCCCACAAACACTCCGTCCACTTGCCATAGATGATGAACAGCTTCTTTTTGCTGGAACAAAGGGGTTTAGAAACCAAGCTAAGATAGACCACCCCCCGCATGCAGCACCCCACTTCAACGGGGGAGTAAGATCCTGCCTGGCTGTCTTCTTACCAGTCTTGGGCTACCTCTGCACAGAAACGCAAAGACGAAAATTTGCATTTTAGGATCTCTGCTCCTGCCATTTGACACTGATGGTCCTAACTACCGAATACACCGAAGCGAAAGAAAGAGGGAAGGGACGAGGGTGGAGACAAGGAGGTGGAGGAGTCCGTGTTCAGATGTAAAGCCCATGTGTCGATCTCTCCGTGAGCACGCTGACTCCAGGCCCTCTCTCTATAAACCACGGGAACAGGCCTCCTCCTGTTGAGTTTGCTCTATCCTCACGGCCACACGTCAGCACTTCACTGACAGGCAGATTCTGTGCCCCTCTGCCACCTGCTTCCTCAGGTAGTAACAACCTCTGGGGACCTTCCCAGATGGGCCACCTGCTGGCTGCCGAAGGAGCAATGCCAGTGGTGGGCTGTTCCTTCTGCATCTTCTGGGGGAGAGCACAGTGGGCCCTGAGCTCCTGGGGATACTGCTCTGCCAGGGCGGGACCCTGGGGCACCCGTGTCTCAGGCCCCGCCTGGAGGGCCTGCTCCTCTCAGGAAACACAGCTCAGTGGGTGCACTGTCACTAACAGGCCCAGCGTCAGGAAACCGCTCACTCGAATTTGGGGTGGGAAACAGAGAAGCAGACCAAAGTTCACACACGCTCACAGTGGGTGCTGCCACCCACACCCATGGCCGTTCCTGGGCCTCCACGGGAGAGGCTGCTGTCCTGAGGGTGGAGTGGGCGGAGTCATAGGGGAATGGTGTTTCCCAGGCTGAGTGGGGCCAGGCAGAAGACCTGCTCCCCATAGGAGCTTGTTTCTATTGACAATGTACAGACTCTGGGAGCTGGGAAGAGCCGCGGCCATCACATGGCCCAAATCACTTAAGGGGAAAAATGAGAAAATTGAGACCCAAAACAAGATTACTAAACCAAGGGGAGAAAAACTCAAAAAATTTGTTAAAATGATCCTAACCATTTCTCTGCTCACAAAACCTTTAAACTTCCCTAGTTTGCGGACTGAAAAGAACCAATCTCATGCGGACGAAGCTCATACAGCCACATGCGAGCTTCACCGACCACCTGCACGTATGGTGCGGGAGGAGGACACGGGGTCAGATTCCCAGCCGCGCCCTGCCTGCAACATGTGCAGCAGCATCTCAGAGGGAACCTCCTTCCTCGTGTCCATTCATCTTTACCCCTGGGAGAGGGTGACACGGGCCCACCCACTCCCCACCTAGAAATGACACCAAAGCTGCTTTTAGCTCCTGTCACGCTCGGTCATGACATGTTTTTCTCAGTAAACACGGGTATAAAAGAGCCTGATTTTTTTCTGCCATGAACAGACATCACTGGTTTAACGACCTTCTTTGAAGCGCACACATGCTATCTGAGCCGACCTGCACGTGGACCTACTTTTTGTCTTGAATGTGTCCTTCCACTTTGTGGAGCTCTTTTCCAAACAACCCGCACGGTCTGAAGTGAAGCACACACTTGTCTCCAGTCCTGCGGGAGAAGCACAGGCCTCGGTTGTGGGACATGAGCCGTCCAGGAAGATGAGAGAGCAGGAGAGGAGGCGAGAAAGTAAGAGCAAGAGCGGGAGTGGGAAAGGAAGAGGAAGCAAGGCGGGGGGGGGGGGGGGGGGGGGGGGGGGGTGGGAACACTGCAGTAACAAAACAAAGAGCTGCTCTCAGGC